ATGCATACAGTTCACTGGGGGATCTTGTTGAAATGTAGATTACGATTCAATAGATCTCAGGTGGGGCCCCAAGAGTCTGCATTTCTTTCTTTCTTTCTTTTTTTTTAGGGGGGGGTTACTTGTCTTTTTATTACGGAGTTGTAAGTTTTCTTTCTTTTCTTTTCTTTTTTTTTTTTACAAATAGTTTATTATCAAATTGGTTTCCACATAACACCCAGTGCTCATCCCCACAAGTGCCCTCCTCCGTGCCCATCCCCCCCTCCCCCCCCACATCCATCAGTCCTCAGTTTGTTTCTCAGCATTCAAGAGTCTCTCATGGTTTGCCTCTCTCCCTTTCCCCCACCACTTCCCCCCTTTTTCTCCCCCTTGTTCCTCTGTTAAGTTCCTCCTAATCCTCCTATACGTGCAAACATATGATATTTGTCCTTCTCTGCCTGACTTATTTCGCTCAGCATAACACCCTCAAGAGTCTGCATTTCTAACAAGCTCCCAGGTGACCTGGATGCTGTTTATGCTAAATCCACTACAAGTTGCCCCCAGATGGTCACGTGTTTTAGAAAACAAATCGTATTCTTTATCTGTATCTGTATGTATATCTGTATCTTAAGCTCACAAACTCTTACCCAATCCAGACAACTTCTTTCCTCCCTGTTGTCCGCACCTTCCACGACCATTTTTAGGGGAGTAGAGGTGTTTAGACTTTTCTCATAAATCAGAATCCGCATTGTCAGTGTTTCAACTATAATTGGCCTTCCCCATTTTTATTCCCAGTAAGTGCATCCCACCCTAGCCTTGCTGTGTCCATGCTTCTGCATTAATCTTACTGGCCACAGGTCCCCGTGAAATACTGGGGAGCATTCAGACAGCTTAGAGGTGAGAGGTCCAGGTTTTGAGTATGATTTTATCTATTCACCTCATTGTTACCCAAGCCTCGGGATTCTGTCTTCTGCTGCTTCTGGGTGCTCCTGTGACCCTCCCTCTGTCCTTCTTCCACAGCCGGCAGCCCTCTGCTCCTACCCATTCTCACATTTTCCTTACTCACTGTCATCACTGTCTTCCCTACAGACTTACCACAAAGTAATGGAAACCAACGAACATGAATACAAATATAAACATACTTGTAGAGTAAAAACTCTTTTCTTCCACTTTAAGTGCTACTTGCTCAGCTGCATTACTTTTCCTTCATTAATGCTTCTGTCCCTTACAAGTACAGATCAATCTTTTCCATTCCAGGCTCTGAGGATGGACTCTAAGTGATTGTTATTTCATTAGGCTAGTAGCAAGAGTTAAGATTCTGTTGGCCTTGGTACACCTTTAAGTGCCAGCCTAACTATAGTCCCATACTGTCCAGGGTGCATGCTGAAGCTTCCTGGGGTGCAGCTGGGAACCCACTGTGGTGCTAGGAAGTATTTTAAAATTTCGAGGGAAATATTAGCAACACTCGGGTTCTTTGAGGCTCCTTGTGAATTACTAGTTCAGAGTAGTTAACAGTTTCAACAGTAGGTGGTGCTCCATTCTTTTTGATGACGTCAAATGTTTATATTTTCTCACCCAACTTGTGATAATAAGTGCAGACAATGCAAAATCAACGTGGAAAAGGAACGTGGCAATGTCTGATTTTAGAAGTTGCACAGTGCCCAGGGGATGCCCACATGCTGTAAGTAACTGTGGTTATTTAAGAATAAAATTAAAATACTACTTTTGGGGGGCACTTGGGTGGCTCAGTCGGTTAAGCGTCAGACTTGAGCTCAGGTCATGATCTCACGGTTCTGGGTTGGAGCCCTGCCTGCTCTGACAGCTCAGAGTCTGGAGCCTGCTTTGGATTGATTCTGTGTCTCCCTCTGTCTCTCAAAAATAAATAAACATTAAAACAATTTTTTTAAATATTATTTTTTCTGCTGATTGCTGTGTATTTTTTCAAATAACTATGCATTTGTTAGAACATAAATACCTGTTAAGTTGTTTGGCTCTGTTTCTTGTGTTCTAAGGGCACTGTGAAAACAAACACAATACTAAGGGCACCGCGAACCAAGAATGTTTTGGGACTTCTGCTATAGTCTAATCTTTTTTTTTTCCTCCAAAAGTTTCTTGACCTTGTGGATCCAGATCATCACATCAAGTATGTGTTTTGTTCCATATCTATCTAAAAGTGGAACAGGGGCACCTGGGTGGCTTGTCAGGTGGGTGTCTGACTCTTGATTCCAGCTCAGGTCATGATCCCAGGGTTTTGGGATCGAGACCCGCATCGGGCTCCACGTGTGGAGCCCATTTGAGATTCTCTCTTCTCCCTCTGCCCCTCCCCACCCTGTCTCTCTCTAAAAAAAGAAAGAAAAAGTGGACCAACTTGTTGCCATAGGAGAAACAAACTTTTTTTTTCTTAAAAAATTATTTTGGCCTATTTTTAATTATGGTAAAAACATATTATACTCAAATCTTTTTGTCTGTTGATAAAGCACAACCCAAAGACAGATATGGAGAAATGCCCAATTAACAGTCTTTTTTTTTTTTTAATATTTTTATTTATTTCTAGGAGAGAGAGAGAGAGAGAGAGAGAGAGAGAGACAGCGTGAGCAGGGGAGGGTCAGAGAGAGAGGGAGACACAGACTCTGAAATAGGCTCCAGGCTCTGAGCTGGCAGTCAGAACAGAGACCGACACGGGGCTCAAACCCAAGAACCGCGAGATAATGACCTAAGCAAAAGACGGACGCCCAACCGACTAAGACACCCAGGCGCCCCTCGATTAACAGTCTTAAACACATCTGATGTAGCAATGCTGGGAACCCTGACAACTTCAATTATTGCTGTTGCTTTTTTTTCTGTTTTCCAGTAGATATCTTCTTATGTGTTATAACTTCAAGGAGGTGGGAGTGGGGTAGTGATGATGGTAAGGTAGGGAAACATGTCTAGCTGCCAATAAAATATCCACATCCAACTAGTTAGGTTGAAGCTATGATTGGGAAAGGATTTTGCCACCATCTTCTACCTTTTCCACCCACCGAGAGATCCCTTAATTACCCATTTTACTTCTGCAATGTTATAAAAATCAATACTTGTGCATTACAGGTAGATTTAATAGAGTGTGTACAGCTGATTTGCTCACCAATAATAATACTGTCTTTATGCACCTACTATGTGACAGTCACTAGTTCCTGTCTCATGTAACTTCATAAGGCAGGTTTTGCTGCCTGCATTTTCCAGTTGAAGAAACTAAAGCCTAGGAAGCTTCACAACCTGCCTTGGGCCATGCAGCCACGCAGCCTCAGATCTGCCAGAGTCCACAGCTCGAAACTTCTCCCCATGGCAATGTTACCTCTTAGAATTCTCATGGTAAAATTGATTCCTATGCAGTTTTATCCATTTCTGTTTCCAGGATCCTAAAATATCCCTGCCTTTCTTTAAGAACACGTGGTATTTTTGATATAAAATGGCCTCACGATTTTAGAAGAAAAAAGCAGAAAGGAAAAAGGGGAGAATCAGTCATTTAGACAAAGCATTTAAGAAATTTTAATCTTCTATGACAATAATATTATATGTATTGTAGAAAGTGCTTTAAAGGTTTGAGATTATTATTATTTTTTTTACAACCATTACTCTGTTAATGTAGTGATAGTCAAATTTCACAAGGAAATGGAGTGAAGTACAAATAAGCGGACTGTCTTTTTTCAGCAGTCACACAGCATGTGAGTTTCACATCAAATACAAGGCTAAACCCTTGGGGATCTGTGTTGATGTTCACCCCACCACTGTATACTTCCTCTCCTACTTTATTCCACATTAATAATTCATTCATTGGAACAATGCCTGGTTACCTCAGCCCAAGCCATGGATGGCTTTCCTTCATTTATAAGGGTAAATACTTAAAGAGAATATTTGCAGATTGTTATTTAGGGGATATTTGATAACGGATTGAAATGTGAATGTGGGGCCTTTGGACTCTGCAAAATTTATGCTGTTTGCACACTGTCCTAATATGGTTGTTTCAAAATCATAGCTCTAATCATAAACAAAGACATCTTATCATTTCTGTTATGTTCATTCTCTGTTTCTATAAAGGATATGTGACAATTTTTTTTGACAATTATTTTTCTTATCAGTACCACATTATGAGACACAGAAGCTACAAAATACAAATATGTGTCTCTATTTGTCCCCCATCTCTGCAGCATGCAGATATTCTGCAACAAGAATGTAGCTGATGATAACATTTCAGTGAAACTCACGATGACAGTATAACTGAGCTGTTTCCCTGACTCAGCTCCAGTAATCTCCAAGGGCTATAATAAGTGATGCCCTCCTCATTCTACTTTCTAGAGTCAATAAAATGGTCAGATGATATTTGGAAATAGCACCTTTACATGACCATGTTTCTCTTTTGTGAACCTTGTCACAATTAAAGCACTGTCTTTTGAAATGCCTGGCTCTTGCCAGTTAGTTGAGACAAGACAAAATTAGTCGCAGCGGTGACAGTAACAGCAACCAAATCTAAGGCAGTAAGGTGGATTTTGCGGACAAAGGGCTCCATCTGGTTGGAGAATGGATGGCACTGTCGGGAGCAGTGTTAAGAAGTAGTTAATTTGAACCTGACCAAAGGACTAATGCTCAGAATGTTTGCTTTCAGAATCAGAAAAAGGAACCTTCCTCCCCTTACAGCTTAATCCCTCTATTCCTATTTTTAATACATCCTACTTTATAGAATAGCTGGACCACATTTTTCAAGCTAAAGTAAAAATTAAAGGATTTATGATAATCCTATGTGGATGGTTGTGGGCGTTTCATTTTCAACGGAAGCATTTCTTTCTTTGTTGCATTGCTAACATTTCTCAGCTTCTTGCTATAGTCTTCTTCCCGAAACTACTCAAGTGGAAAAAAAAAAGTCTTACCAGATAAGCAACAATTCTTACTGTATTGGGGGAATAGTTCACATCCTCCCCGTCTATTTATTAGAAGTAACTTCTTCAGGCTTTAAAACCAGAATGTCAAAGCGCCCAATGGAATCCTACCTTGCCCACATACTGATAATCGGATCCCGTGTATTCCTCCAGGAGAAAGAACTGATTCCACATCCAGCTTCTTTTCGAACGGTTCAGCTCATTTTTGCTGTTTCCAGAGAGCTCCAGGGAACTTTTCTTTGCTGGGAAACCACTAGTCCTCTTAGATAATGGAGTTGAGAAAGTTGGGTAGGGCTGACCAACCCAAAAGAGTAGCAAGAAGTACCGGTAAGTTCTCATTCTGAAGACACAGTCCAGTCTCTGGGCAATGGGTGCCCTGCTCCTTCAAGTGTCTTTTTTCACTGCACTCTGTCCAGTGTCATCCCTTCTTTCTTCCTTAATGTTCTTTGCTTGGCTTTCAGAGGATGTCTGGAAAGAATAATAACATATCAAACAATTTTAGAGATGCTTAAAATTCAGTGTTAGAGCAAATAAGCTCTTGAGAGAGAGGGCGGAAATTTCAATAGCAAAACAACCAAAATAAGTTGGCTATCAATTTTGAAATGAGGAAAATGTTCTTTCAGATATGCTAAATGGAAGGCATGTGCCGAGTAGGAAGCTGCTGTTTCCCTTTTTTCTTTTCTATTGCTTAAAAATCCTATTTTAAGTAACAGTGTTGCTGTAGGTCAACATGCCAGAGTGGATTATTTCACTACTCTCTTTTCCTCTCTAGTATGTGGGCTGAGATCTGGTAAGGAGAAACGAGTTTGTGTTTCTGATTCCATTTGCATATATATCCTCATGAACAAGTCTGAGGCAAAGAATATCACAGACAGTTTCAACTCGATTGGAAGTGGATACTGTTGGAATTTCACTAGAATGTATTGAGTATCTGTGATGTGTCTGCATAGGTCAGGGTCTAGCCTGCTCTCCAGACTCTTGGCTTCAGCCATGGGTTGTGATAGACTGGCCTGGGTCAAGTAAGGTTGGAAAAGACCACATGTCATCTTCTCTTCAAAATGCATACTAGCATATTGCAGTTTCCGAAGTGAAATTTTGCAGCAATGATGCCAGCCTACATTTAATAAAAGATTCCTCAAACTTGACCAGCTGCTTTTTGCTCGTACAATCTAATAACATTATAGGATGGGTTAATGAACAACCTATAGAATTTGTATATAATAGAATATAGAAATTAAATGAGAAATTCTATTTAAATTTCTCTAGGAAATCCTGGATTTTCATCTCTAAGTTTTACATATATCATAAGCAATCAAGCATAAATATATAAATTGGTCAAAGAATGTCTATGTAATTTTCACAGGTGTATCTGATATATTTCAACATCACAGTGAGAGCTGGTGACTACAGGATCTCCAAAAAGTCAGCTATTATACCTGTGGGTAATAATTTTCCAGGACAAATATTAACTTTCAAGAACATAACCTCACATTAAAAAAAAATCATTGGGCCAGATTGCCTGGCAAAGATGTTACAAAGTGGTTTATATTCCATGTAATTAAAGTAATACATGCCTATATCTCCATCCTAAACTTTTCCATATTTCTTGAAAAAAATTACTCCTTCATTGTACTATTTGAGATGGGAAAAATGTTTTCTTAAATAATTATAACCGAAAAATGCAGCACTTTGTAATGTAGAACATACCAGTAATTAAACTGGTACATTCACTAAAGAAATACAGATAAAGAAACATGTTTAGGTAATATGACCAGAATTTTCTCTATGTCTCCTGTTATTCTAACAGGTAAATTTATGGATGACCAGAATTTTCTCTATGTCTCCTGTTATTCTAACAGGTAAATTTATGGATGACCAGTGTTTTGATTTTTTTTTTTTTTACCCCAGCGATGAGTAATTATAGCCACTGAACACATGGTTTGGTGGAAACCTTTCTATTGGAATATAAGTGAGATATTTTACAGTGTTCAGCATTTTTAAGCCTTTATGCCATTACTATGCATCTTCCTGACAGCAGGCTGGGGAAGTTGAAAATTCCACAGGTGAGTGAATTAATACTGTAACAATTAGTCATGCTGGAAAAATGCCAGACAATCGTATACTTGTTATTATGTGGCCTTGGTACAGGTGTGGAATAACTGATGATCAGTTAGGTAATGACGATTCTGCTCTTCTCACAGATAGTATATAACGGGGATTGAGGGAGCATATGGAGAAAAGCCCTCTAAAGACATCTATTCATTTTTAGCAGGAGAGATTACACTGAGGTTGATTCAGTAGAAATTACATTTTTCTTAATTTCTCATAGTCTCCATTATTTGCATAGACAAATCCTGCAGTGAAGAATTACACGTCTGTTGCTGCACTCAGTGTGAGCCCCGTGGTGCTGGCAGCAAAGAGGGGTACCGAGAATGGAGGTGTCAGTTGTTTAAAAGGCAGACTCCTAAAGGCCATTTTAAAGAAAAATCGATCCCTGTGGGCCTTGTGTGGAAACTCTACAAGCTGTTGCCACTTGAATATTAAATATTAGTTCTTTTTAATATCACAGATACCAAAATGTCAAGTATTTCTTTTTTTTCTTTCTTAATTTTTTTTTGCTTAGTTGGTAATGAGCTTTTAAAGTGATGCAAATTTAAGCAGGGTTTGCAAGTATGCTAGAACATCTAGCTTTGCTCTAACCCAGCTCTTTTTGTATCAACTTGGCAGGGTGTGCCCTTGTTAAAAACTCAATATGCAAAATTACTAAAATTACTATGATCTGCTCATATTTAGTGTTAGCTTTTTAGAGGGATAGACTTCTGTGCGAAATTCATAGTTTAAAAGTCTCCAACCAACTCGGAACTGTTGAATATATAACTTAGCAATTCTCATTTAATACTTTGTAATAGGCAAGATTACATAGTGGTTAAGATTATCAATGCTGGAGCCAGATTGCCTGGGTTTAAATCCAGAATCTGTCCATTAATTGCTGTGAATTTGGGAAAATGCTTAATCTCACCTTATCTTAGTTTCTTCTTCTGTAAATGGGGATAATTAGAATAAGTACCTCATAGTGTGTTGTAAGGATTAAGTCATTACATGCAAAACACTTAGAACAGTGCCCGGCTTAGTAAGGTCTTAATAAGTATCAACTGCTATTATTATTATTATTATTATATATTATTATGTATTATTGTTCTTACTATTGTTATTGTTACTATGATGCATTGCATATTAAGAATCCATCTATAGCACACTGCAAAAGTCTGAAAAAGATAGCATAGTTCCCTCTTAAGCTTGAATATTTTTTAATTTTCTAGAAGTACTGAGCAAATCAGATCCTTCTTTTTAGTCAAATTATTTTAAAATTAAAAAAATAGAAGCACTTTAAAAATCAAAAGTACACCATTTGCTAATCATTTTCCTCTGTGTAGACTTCAATTCAGGATTTCACAGTAATAATAGTATAAAAACAGAGAAGGCAGAAGCTTTAAGCCCACTGACTGCATGAAGAATGTGGGCAAAAAGGAAAGTTCACTGGAGGATGGACTCATTCATAGAATCTGTGGGGTTTTTTTCCTTTTCCAGTAAAAAATGTTTTAATGTTCATTTTTGAGAGAGAGTGAGTGAGAGGGAGAGGTGCGGAAAAAGAGAGGAAGAGAGAGATCTCACGAACTGTGAGATCATGTCCTGAGCCGAAGTCTGATGCCCAATCGACTGAGCCATCCAGGTGCCCTTCCTTTCCATTTTGTTACGTTAAGGTTTTGAAAATCATCTTTATTCAGGTGGAACAAAATCAGAACCAGCTTCAACGTAGTAATTTTGCCCTTGTAAAAATGATACCAGACAAATATGTCTTTGTGTAATTAATGTGCTATTATTATTCTAATGTTATATGGGATAAGAATTTGATGATGTTTAAATGAGTGATGTGTATATATTTTAGATTTTACTTAATCTAAAAAAAGATGAAATAAAAACATATTTCAAGCATATCTTTGGATCCAAAAAACGGGATTCTTAGGATACAGAATGGGTCAAGGCGGGAAAAAGCCCAGTGTAGCACAACTTTGAGAAATACAGGAAAGCTGCTGACTTGTAAGCAGTAAGAATACAGGAGTACTACATGGCAAGTAGTAATCAGCTATGCTAGCTCATTTTGTAGATGTCAAGAAGTAAACCAAAAGGACAAAGTAAGGCATGCATAGACACTGAATTTTAAAATAGCAGGCAGGCATGGTATTCAATCAGAAAAGAATCAGAAGATTAGAGAGTGGGAAGGGAAAGAATGCAAAACAAAGTAGATATTGTACCTTTTTGCCCCCATCCCCTCATGGCACCACAAGCAAATCAGTTAGAAATATCAAAAACCCTATAAAAACAAGACTTGAGCTGCTTAAATGCAGCATAATGACAGTTTAGCAATGGACTTAAAAGATTACTTCATAGACCATGTCTCTACTTTTCATTTTCTTTTTGCTGGGATCTGGGCTTTTGGGGGGAGATTTTCTGTTTCTTTTGGGCAATCTGTATGCTCTGAAGTGTGATATGCAAAAGTGGTTCATACAGAAAAATAGTTTAGATCATTGCAGAAGCCCTTTCTTAGTGATGTATAGAAGGTAATTAAGATGTTTATGGATAGGGGTGCCTGGGTGGCTCAGACAGAGCATCTGACTCTTGATTTCAGCTCAGGTCATGATCCCAGGGTTGTGTGATGGAGCCTCATGTCTGGCTCTGTGCTGAGCATGGAGCCTGCTTAATACTCTCTCTCTCTCACTTTCTCTCTCTCCCTCTGTCCTCCCCTGTGCTCTCTCAAAGATAAAAAAATTAAAAAAAAAAAAGATGTTTATGTATAGTGGGGTAAGGCCCACATAGCATTGATAATTGCATAGTTTGTAACTTAATTTGGCAGCCAATATGCATATACATCCAGTCTTCACAAGAGTACATAGCCAAGTCCAGCTTTTATCTAATGAATGCCATTTAGGAGGAGCCTAGAACTCATTAATTCATGAGCTCCCAGTTTCGAATATGTGATAATTAATGCAGAAGCTCGGTTAAAGTTTTCCTTTGATTTGCAAAACCTTTTCCCCTAGATTACTGGAAATTAATAATGTAAAAATATTTCATAGGGATATATAGAATGAGAAGACAAACTGCAATGTCTTCAAGTTCGCTAGAGTCCTTTGGAATCACCTTTTATTTGCAAATCATTAATATGCTAATTAGAAAACTTTTCTATTGATTGAATTGCTTCTCTGATGACTTATGTTTGATAACATTCTGAATGTCTCAACTGTGTTATCTGGTTTTGAGATACTGATTTTATTATACTGTTT